ATGGAGTAAGTGGGTGTGTGTATTTTTTGGGTGTTTCGAAAGATAAATGAAATTGATTATTGGGTAACTAAAATATTGATTTATGCTTCTTTGTTGCAGGTTAGCAGGCTTTGATGACATCTGACATTGGGTCTAACATTGAGGAGTAATTTTTTTGGTGTAAATAGAATAACTTTTGAACCCTTAATTTTTTGGGAGAATAGTTGATAGAGAGGTTATCCTTTTTGTAAATGATGTTAACTGGGTAGGATATGTTTGTAATCTGAATGACAAGGAAACATTAGGTGGTGGTTTAATCTTAATGTTAACTTGTCATTTGAATACAAGTTATGTAACTTCTGTCATAGGCGTACTGGTTTTTGGTAAATATTATCACTTCAGTAGTCAATTCCATTATACATGTAGTAAAGTCTGAATGTTAATATAAACATATCATGATGTTCTTCAGGTGTACTTGTATGCTATTTTGTCAACACATTTTTACCATTTGCTTAATTCCTCCAAGGGAGATGGCGGAAGTTGCCAATGGGCATGACCGGAGTGGTTAATTTGATTACAAATGTTGTTACTCACATTACAAATGTTGTTATTATCATTATCGGGGTAGTGAGTGGCTATGGCATGTCATCTTACAAGCATGTGTGTGTGTTCATTGCTGCTGGGGCTATTAATGCTTGAGGTTGCGGGATTCAAGTTTTGGAAATTTAGAAGCTGATATAATAGTGTTCAGAGACTGTTTAATGAATCTGAATTATATATTAGCATGTTCTGAAAGTGAAAATAATTTACAGATTATATATTATTGCTAGTTGAAATGTTTTGAAGGTTAAAAGCTGATTCAATACTTGTAAAATATTTGTATATATATGAGTATATGGGTTATTGCTTGTGAATTGATGCTTGTGAAATTAAAGTATCGAGGCATAAAACTGATTTTCCTTTTTTTTTTTTTAAAAAACTGTTGGTTTGAGGATTGAAGAGCTAGAGATTAAAAACTGATTTGGACATAATGATTTATGTCTCTAAGTGCTGAATTATGATTGTGCTGTTTGAATCAGATTGTTTTACAGCCTGTGAGCTCAAAGTAGGAGCTGAAAAATCAGTTTCAAGTTACTGAATTATGCATTCGTGTGGTGGCTAGTGAATCATGACCTTAATTCAAGACATGACAAAGTATTGAGCTTGTTTTCATCAAATGAAGCCACCACACTGACCAAAAGACAGCATCTGTGGTAGTAGTAAAGATTACGTAAATTAAACATATAGTATTTGTGAAAGTAGTGTTCAGATATTGTCAAAATACTTGACTTATGGTTGTAGGTTGTAAGTTATGATATTTGTTGGCTTAATTTAAATCTTTTTTGGAATAATTTCACTAAACAAGTAATGATAATTACAGCATGCATAATGAAAGTTGTAACTTCTGTCATGGCATTTGCAACTCAATTATTTGTACCCCAAATTACATCTATTTGGACCCAAATTTCACTACACACGTAATGGGATTAACAACATTCGTAATGCAAGTGACCACTTCCGTATTACCATTTGCAACTCGTTTATTTTAAACCAAAGTAACATGTATTTGGAGCCAATTTCACTACTCCGATAATGATAATGACAACATTTATAATATGAATTACAATTTTTGTAATGAGAGTTATCATCTCGCTATTGTTATTTGCAACTCGTTTATTTCAAACCCAAGTAATATATATTTGGAGCTAATTTCACACTCCTGATAATGATAATGACAAAATTTGTAATGTGAATTACAACTTTCGTAATGAGAGTTACAATTTTGCTATTTCCATTTGCAACTGGTTAATGTGAAATGAATTTAACATGTATTTGGAGCCATTTTACTACCCTAATAATGATAATGATAATATTTGTAACGTGAATTACAACTTTTGCAATAAGAGTTACTATCTCGCTATTGCCATTTGTTAACTCATTTCTTTCAAACCCAAATAACATCTATTTTCAGCCAATTTTACTACCCCAATAATGATAATAACAACATTTGTAATGTGAATAACAACATTTGTAATCAAATTAACCACTCCGGTCATGCCCATTGGCAACTTCCGCCATCTCCCTTGGAGGAATTAAGCAAATGGTAAAAATGTGTTGACAAAATAGCATACAAGTACACCTGAAGAACATCATGATATGTTTATATTAACATTCAGACTTTACTACATGTATAATGGAATTGACTACTGAAGTGATAATATTTACCAAAAACCAGTACGCCTATGACAGAAGTTACATAACTTGTATTCAAATGACAAGTTAACATTAAGATTAAACCACCACCTAATGTTTCCTTGTCATTCAGATTACAAACATATCCTACCCAGTTAACATCATTTACAAAAAGGATAACCTCTCTATCAACTATTCTCCCAAAAAATTAAGGGTTCAAAAGTTATTCTATTTACACCAAAAAAATTACTCCTCAATGTTAGACCCAAGTCAGATGTCATCAAAGCCTGCTAACCTGCAACAAAGAAGCATAAATCAATATTTTAGTTACCCAATAATCAATTTCATTTATCTTTCGAAACACCCAAAAAATACACACACCCACTTACTCCATTGACAACTTAAATATAGGATTTTACAATTTCAGTAATGAATTTAACAACACTGACCACCTCATGCTTACTGTTTGTCACCATTTTTCCATTTCCGACGCGTCACTCTCTCGTCCTGGTCAAATTATTCATCCAAACCCTCTACACTCACAGACCCATCCCCATTCAAGCATGCAGCAACAAAGAAATCGGGTGATACTAGCGTTTTAACGGAAAAATTGCTTACCTTTTCCCTCTTTCCAGATTTCCACCCTTACTCTAGCTTCGTCTTCTCAGCCTCTCTCTCTTCTGGTATATTATTGTTTTCTTTGCAGTTCATACCTTCAGAGAGGTTGAGGGTATTTTAGTCTTTCTACCGAATTGACAAAATTCCAGATTGATACCCCATACCCATTTGGTCATTTCAGTTATTTGTATACCCATTTTGTCATTTCAAATTTCAACCGTCCTTTTTCTGTCATTTTCCCTAGTATTAAATATACAAATTAGTTTAAATTTGTACTCTTTTAATCTTTAATATAAAACTTTTTAAACTAATTTAATTAGATTAAAAGAATTAAATAAATTAATTAATTATAAGAAATATAAAATATTTTTTTAAAATATTATAATCATTTTTCTTAATATTCTTCTTCCTTCATTTATTTGATTATGGTTGAAGGAGTTTCCATATGAGTAATTTAAAAAAAATTGATAAATATAAAAAATAAATATTATATTTAGGAACAAAATTAATTTAACAATTAGGTAATATATTAAGAATTAAAAAAGTATATTTTTTTAAGCATAGATATCCTTCTATTGGACATGTTTGAGTTAATATTGAAGTTATTGTTTAATACTAAATGTAAAAAGTTATTTTAACGAGGATTCGAATATTAATTAATCATATTATAAATATTAGTTTCTTTTATTAGACTTAATCCTTATTATTTATTTAAAACCAACTATTTATATTTAAGCCCAGACTAACCTACCATTTATACTAAATTTTTAACTATTTTAATACAAAAAATTTATTTTCAAAGGAATTTTTTAATCAGTGATGCAGCATTCAAGAATCATGATATGATTAATCAATCATTAGATTAATTTCTAGTTATACCTAACTTTGTAATTTTAAGAAAAGATTATAATTTATTTTTTTAATAAAATAATCTCACAACTACAGTCAAATTCAACTATTATTATCTCAAATCGATGTTAATTATACACATAACTTTGCTCCAAACCTAGCTGTTGATTAAAGTTTTTCTAATTTGTAGTTAACTAAAGTAGAAGTCCTCAATTTGCCTTATTAATATGGATGAGTTTACCTTAATCCTTGTGGATCAAATAATTATGTTGGATTTTATATAAAAAAAGATTAAATTAGGAGTGTTATTCCAAGTTGGTGAACTCAATAATACCCAAGTTAATTTTATGATAATAACACATGCAGTATGATTATATCAGTTATTTAATTTCTCACATAACATGATGAATTCATAATCATATAAAAATGAATTATCAACATATAACTACATCAAATAAAATCTAAATCCTTCAAAATCCCAATTTTCTAACGTCACAGTTCCATATTCTAGTTTTTTAGTGGTAGTAAAAATAATAAGGCAGTATGGTTTAATTAATTTTATAAAGTATGTTTTTAATCGTCACGCGCGTGGTTACAATTTTAAATTGCTAACAAAAAAACAAAATCAAATGCTACTATTTTAAAATTATTTTTCCTTTTAAAAGTTATACTTAATATATTAATCTTTGAAAACCAAAAAAGAGTACTAGATTTATAGCATAAAAAGACATATTGGCACAATAAAAAAACATAAAAAAATATACTTAGTTATGATATTTACTATAAAATCATGTTGACTAATTTGAAAAGATTAAAAAAATTAAATAATTTCATTAAAGTATTATTTTTCTTTTTATTTTTCAAACTAATTTATTTGACTTATAAAATAATATACTACTATAATCTAATAATACATGTGAGTATTTCAAAAAGTTCATGTAACATATATTATAATTAAGTGATTGTTTAACTTTTATAGTTTTTTTTGAATTAATGAACTAAGTCTTATACTACCTCCGATCCTTAATATAAGATCTTGTTTGACTTTTATTTTGGTTCTAAATATAAGACTCTAATCTATTTTGTTTCTTGTATTTATATATATTTTTTACCAATATAGTCTTTTTAACAATAGTATTTCTAACTAATACACTTTATTAGTAAAAATATTTAAAAAAACAATACCTATTTATTACAAATAACTAAATTAACTTCTTTTCTCAATCTTCTTAAATTAGTCAATTAGTTTTTATAATTAGGATCAGAGAGATAGTATGAAATAAGAAACTTAGTGTATCATAAATTAAAAAAGAGAATAAATGTGCACTTTTACTTCCGATTATTGCTCATAATAATGATGATGATAATATCGCTGATAACACAAACAAAATTTCCAAATATTCGCCCAGACACAGTTGCGGCAACAAGCAAAGCGTGTGATAAGTAAATGGAAATCACAAACGCCTCGTGATTCTGGGACCCACCAGATCCACCCCCCGCGAAATTACAAGAAAGCCATCGCAGGTAATTTTCCATCCACATGTTGGGAAATTTTCTCGCGCGAGAAAATAAGAAACGAAAAGGGCAAAAAATAGATGCAGTGATTCAGTCAGAAGTAACAAACAAGCGAATGTGATCCAGAAACGTCAGATTCTGAGGCCTATCTTTGCGCTTCACATAACCTTTCGCCTCTTTCTCGGTGTAACATTCAAACCCTCTCTTTTCATTCTTCTTCCACAGCTCCACCGCGTAGCTTTTGTGTGCGAAGTACGCCTCCACCGCGCACGTCAGCCCCGATGATCCGTCTCCGTCACCGATATTATCGTTCTCGATCGATCGGAATTCCACCTCACCATCGCCGTCGTTCTCGGCCGGATCACGCAACACCACAATCGGCAAGCGCTCGTAGTGGCCGCGCGTGGTGCCTTCGAGCTCGTCCATTTTGGCAAGTCCACGCGCCGTCACGGCGTAAAGCTCGCCTCGGACATGATGACCCGATCCGACGAAGTTCAGAAGGAAGGGGACTCGGTAGGGCCCACAGACAAGCGGGTATTTGTTAGCCGTGCGGAAGACGCCAACGAAGGCGGCGTCGCCGGAGCGGATGAGATCTTGAAGGAGAACATGGTTAGAGAAGCCGCGCTTCAAGGTTCCGTAAGTGAATATGAGAGTTCGTTTATCGTCTGCTTCTGCTACCATTTTCTCTCTCTTCTGGTTGATGTCGCAGTGGCTAGAGAGAGAAACGAGGAAGAAGAAGGGGGAGGAGGGAGCAAACTGTGATTGTGTTGTGCGAATGAGAAGAAGGGAGATGAGAGATTGAGAAGTGAAAGAGAGTAGAATATAATGAGAGATATTTGGCGGACGATAGGATCTTGAAGGAGCTAGAGTCCTTATATAGGGAGATGGGGAGATTAATTTCCAGACCCACACTTAGTTAAAGTTAAATATTTTGAAATAAAACATATGTAAAGATAATAATACTCGCTGCGTTTTTTTTTTCAAGAGACCATTAACTAAATAACGAGATAAAAATTTGATTAAAATTAGTTAGAAACAATAAATATGTAAAAAAAATATAATTTATTTTTAAAAATATCTTTATTTATAAAAAAAAAATGTAAGTGGAAGGGAGAATGATGAGTGAAAAATGAGATGGGAGAATAAATATGAAAAACAAAAGACAAGAAAGATATGTAATTAATTGAGGGTAAATAAAAAAAAATATATTAAATATATAAACACCTTCAAAATGTCTCTTATAAAAAGAAACATGCTCTTTTAAAGAAGTGGGTTTTATAAATAGAAACGGGAGAGGGTATGTTGTTAAACAGTAAAAGACATAACAAGTTGTTATTAGATCTATTAACATTTAAAAAATATTTTTAGATTATTTAATTAACATATTTAATTTAAAAGGGTTATGTGATGTGCGGGTCATGAATTATTTGTTAAATTTTGATATTAGTTAGATGGCAACTCTTCTTTGGGTAGTTGGTTTTGGGTAGTTGGTATCTTATGTTCAAAGATGAAGGTAGAAATAAATACTTCTCCGGCTTTAAATATAAGACCTATCTTGTACTGTAAACTCATTTTGTAGTGTAATTTACACTACAAGATGGGTCTTACATTTAGAACTAGAGGAATATTTCAGTACTTTATTATGATACTCCTCCGGTCCTAATTATAAGACCCAATTGACTTATTTGAGGAGATTAAGGAAGTAAGTTAAGTTGGTTATTTATAATAAATAAGTGTTTTCATTCTTAAAATATCCTTACTAATTAAGTATATTGACTAAAACTATCATTATTAGAAGGATTATCTTGGAAAAAAATGCATAAATATAAGAGACAAAATGGATTGGGGTCTTATAATTAGGACCAAATAAAAAGTCAAATGGGATCTTATAATAAGGACCGGAGGAGTATTAAAATGTCGTGTAAATTGACCTTCATCATCAAATTTACTTGTTTTTACTATCATATAAAAATATTGGTAACTATTTTTATAGTAAATACTTCTTTAGTCCTATTTATAGAATAAATTTTTTTTTTAATCCTGTTTATAAGTAGAAAGAGAAATTTTTTATATATAAATATATAATTTTACCTTTTATTTATTATTGTGTTTTTCTTTCCAGTATTATTGTATTGGTTTTGTTCTCATAAGGTATTATAATATATACTCCATTCATTTCAAAATATAAGGTAAATTTGATCCATTTATGTTTATCAAAAAATTAGTTAAAATCAGTTTAAAATAATAAATGTATAAGATATGTATTTTTTTTCAAATATGTCCTTATTAATGAAGAGAATAAGTGAAAAATACAATAAATAAGTTAAAGAATATAATAAATGAATTAAAGAAAAAAGAAAATAGATAAGGGATAAAATTAGAAAATAACTTATTAAATGCTTGAACAAAAATGAATATTATCTTATAAAAAAACCAAGCCCCTCCAATAAAATTTATTTTATATTTTAAACTAGATGAAGTATTAAATAGGGATAAGATTGAAAAGTTTTTAATTTTAAATGAGAGTGACTTAAGTCTTTTTTTTGTGTGTAAAACTTGTTAGAAGTGACTCAAAAATACTTAAATAGAATGAAAAGAGTAATTTAAAGGAGATAGTTTTGGGATCATATAATATATTTTAAGATTCGAATATTAAAATATTAATATTTACATATACAATAATAATATCGTGTATTTTTCTAATTAAAACATAAAACAAACGAAGGAATTCACAAAAAGCTTAAAATAAAAGCTGGCAAAAGAAAGCTTAAAATAAAAATCTGATGCGATTTTTTTAAAAAAAATCTCTTTATTTTATGAATGCTAGTGGATTTTAAATTCTCTTAGATGCATGAATATTTTAATATGAATGCTAGGGGATTTTAAATTCTCTTAGATTCATGAATCTTTTAAAGCTTGAACTGACCTAATAAGTCATGGTAGCTCAAAAACGTTCTTTTTCATTCTATTGCGCCAGCAAGTGAAAAACGTCCTTAACAGAAGCTGAAGGGATGTGTTAAATTAAATTTTTTTTAAAAATTATATATGTCACTTATCTCTTTTAAAATTCGATTGAGTTCCTCAGGTACAACTCTTATAATAATTTAAAAAAATTAGTTCTTATATTTGATAAAGTTCTTTTTTCAACATTTGATTGAGTTAACGTGATACCGCTCATATTATAATATAAATATCAGGTTTTTACTGACTCAAGATTTGGGCTATAGTCACTTAAATAAAGGATTAGGGGTTTGAATCCTACTATTTGTGTACGTAGGTATTTAGTTGAGAGATGTTTATCTTTGGGAAAATTGTAGTGAGATGCTAAAAAGAAAAATAATTATTAAAAGTCTTAACGACAAATAAACAACTGAAACCTATTATTATTTTTTATTCTAAAACCTGTCATTATAATTTGTTCAGCTGTTATGTGATTTTTTGTGAATATATTCTTTACTTAAGATTTTATTGCAATTCTCTCTTGATATTGTACTCTTAATATCCCATAGAAAATAATATCTGCGGTTGATGTGGTTTTCACCTTTTGCATTCACCAAAACAATTAAGCTCTTTATTTGATATAGTAAAAAAATATTGTTTTGATTGATTTTAATTTTCTCCCATATCATAAAATTAAGTTTTGTTTATACTTAATATAAATATAACGTGAAGGTTGCTTTCTCATTAGTCAAAAACATTAAAAAAAAAGTATAAATCATACCCTGAGAAACTTAAAACACAGAGAGAAGTTAGCTTTCTAAAGTCAAAGGCATGATCAACCTCTTGAAACTCCAAAATTTATCAGTCTTATTTCAGCATTGTATTTTATATTGCTAGTTCATGCCAACAACTCCAGTAGAACGTCCCCACTAAACAAAATTAGAAAAGTCATACTTAAGGATGTAAATTTTCAAAATTTTATATAAGACAAATCACTACAACATTTTAAAGGTACCACTAGTAAATTTAAAAAGAATTGTTACTATTTTTCTGGCCTCTATGAAGCCCCACTAAGAACATTAAGCTAATCTTTTACGCAACTTAAAGGGTAATCTTAGCCAATCAACTTAATTTGGCGTGATTAATGGCAAAAATTTTCATTTTTTAAGTAGTTGGAGATTTGATTCTCAATCTTTATATATCCATGACCAAAATTTAGTTTACTTTTTATATCCCGATAAAGATTAGTTTTTCAGGCTCATTGAAAATAATTACGTTTTTTAATATACTACCTTCAGTTCCTAATATGAGATTAGTTGACTAATTTGAGTATATTAAGAAAATTAGTTAAGTTAGTTATTTGTGATAAATAGATCTTGTTTTTTTAAAATATTTTTACTAATCAAGTGTATTAGCTAAAACTACAATTATTACAAGGAGTACCTTAAAAAAATGGATAAATATGAGAGACAAAATCAATTGAGGTCTTATATTTAAGACCAAAATAAAGTCCAAACAAGCTCTTATATTAAGCATTGGAGGTAGTATTTTAACTAAAAAATTTAAGATTTGGGTCCTAAAAAATAATTTCCCTCAAGGCCTTAACAAAATCACTTGAAAACCAGATTCCAATAAAAAAAAAAACTACTAGAAATTTTTTTCACTGATCATGACCAACAGATATATTATTTTTTGGTTACTTAAATACTCCAAAATAAACTAAGCTGCTAATGATGATAGTATGTGAATGCTCTTCTTTTGGGCCAACGGTTCAGTGACGCTACTCTAATTCCTTATTATAAAGTATTTCTTAGAGTTCATTCCACAAACCCAACTTGATTAATGAACTTTCCCTTTTTCTTTTTGTCTTAGCGTACAATATGTTGACAACAATACTTCATTCCACCATGGCTTGCTCAACAAGCACTCTTCCATTCATTCTTTGAACTTCAAGTACCCATCAACATTGCAGTCAAATATGTATAAATACTTGAGCATGACATGATCCGCAATTATTGAACAATATTTTATGGCAATGCATAATAAATTCTTTTGCCAGGTCAGCTGTTGTTCTTTTTTTTTTTTTTAAATGATTCTAGAATCTCTCTTCTCTATGACAGATCCACATTCAAAGCTAATTAGAGCAATGATTTATAGGGATGCTTGGATTAGCTTTTTTTCAAAAGTGATTTTAGAGTTCAAAGTAAAGTATGTGCGAATAGTTTTGTCTTGATTATATGAAATCATTTTTTTTATATGCTTTTTGGAGTTTCTAAACATCCTATCTTATTTCCCCTCCGGCCTCCGCCCAACTCCTCGCCATACAGGAGAGGAGTCTCTCTACTTCTCATCCACTTCTTATCTCAATTATTCTCTCCTGTTTAAAATATAAAATAAATTTTATCTGTTTATCAAAAAAATAGTTAAAATAATTTTAAAACAATAAATATATAAGGTGTGCATTTTATTTAAAAAAATCTAAGCCTTTCCAACAAAATTTAACTTATATTTTGAGCCAGATTATTAAAATTGTAATTTAAAGGGTCCAGATTCTATATTATATAAAATAATCTTATAAAATATTTTTATTATCGTTCTCAATTTAATTTTATTTATTTTTTTTAGAATTTAATACTTAATTTATAATTTTATAAAATATAAAATATAGATTGTTCAAATTGTAATTTTATACTCCCTCCGTTCCTTATTATAAGAGACAAATAACCGAAGCACGTTGATCAAAAAAACAGTTAAAATTAGTTAAGAACAATTAATGTGTAAAAAGTATAATTTTTTTCCAAAAATACCCTCATTAATAAGGAGAGAGAGCATGAGAAAAAACAATTAAATTATTAAAAGAAAGAGAAATGGGAGGGAGAGAGAGTGTGAGTTGGAGATAATAAATATGGGTAAAATAGTAAATCAACACAAAAAAGTAGAGACAACTTGTAAGTGTCTCTTATATATAGAAACATGCCATAAACATTAATGTCTCTTATAAAGGAACGGAGGGAGTAATTGATAAGGGGAAGTGGATGAAAAGTTAGAAATAGAGGGGAAGGGAAGCGGAGAAATCCTCCTCCCTCTCTCTTTATGTATGTATATGCAAGTGGCGGAGTAATGATGTGTTGTGGCACATGGCAACATCTGGAAGCAGCCGCCAAGTTTGAATATAAAAGTCAATTTCACTGCTGAAGATGAGAAGCTCGTTGTCTTCATTAGCGAAACAAAATAGCCCCAACGGATTTTGCTTTTTTGGTTTCAGGTTAATTTTTTAAGTTTTCTGCTTTCATCATGCTCTTCAGTCTTGCTTCCTAAGTCGAAATTGATCAATAATATGTATAATTTTTATAATATATATTACTACTTTTAGTTTTTAATATAAGAATTAATTTGACTTTTAGTTAAATAATAAATATAAGACTCACATTTATTTTGTCTCTCATATGAATTTATTTTTTTTAAGATAGTCTTTATAATAGTTCTAACTAATGCATATGATTAATAACGGTATTTTATAGGAAAAACAATACCTATTTATTACGAATAACCAATTTAACTAATTTTTTTATTATATTCAAATTAGTTAATTAGTTTTTTTAAATTAAGTATTGAAAGTAGTAATATATATTGATTAATATTAATATCGATAACGACTCCAAAGCAAATCATATTTCTATTTTTTATTTTCATTTTGAGTATGCCCAGGCAACAATAACAAGTTTTATTGTCACTTAATAATTGCCAGAACACAGAGGCGTTCGCCCCGCAGAGGAATATGGGGTGGCTGTTTTAGCTCAGTGCTGCTCAAACCTCATTTCCGGAGCCGTCGGTCTCCAAAATGAAAGGCTTGGAAAAGTCGGGTGGGGCCAATCCCGGCGCCCGAACCGGTTGGCGTCTCAATCCTTCAGGAGCTTGTTGGGCCAGCTTTGGCCATTGGAATCCACTTCTTTTGCCCAAGAGAGCTTTGTTAGTGGGCTTGCACTTCGCACATAACTTGAAATGGGAAAATTACATTCTGGCATCGAATTAAGAGATTTTATCTTTGTAAGGTCCCTTGAAACGTTCAAATTAATCTCAAGTTTCAAGGAACCCGTGAGTAGAAGACTGCAGTTGTGAATTGATCATCTTACCCTTGTTGATACGTAAATTGTCACTCTTAGCACCCTCCATTGTCAATTTCAACTTCTTTATTTGTCAATTATGCTTATGCAGATTGTCACTTTGAATTGCAAAATTGAAAATAACGACATTTGAATGCCCCTATAGCCCACACAAAATCATCATGTTTCGTGCCAAAATCACTAGTGCCCAGAATAAACTTGATCTTGGTTGAATCAACCCATCCTTCAACATTACTCTTCAGTAGTAACTCTGTTAAATTTGTGCTTTAATAATTTTTTTGGTTAGATTATAGAATATATAGTTTATACATTAATATCTTATGTACTTATAAATTAATGCCTTTTTAATTTAAATATTACTCTTTTCAAGGTTATATATGGATATCTTTTGTATCTTTTAATTAAATTATATTATCTTAATCATGATCGGGTTAATCTCCGTTTAACCATGGTTTTATCCCAATCATATATTCAAATAAGATAGAACCGGTATAGGTTAATGAGTTATACTCTAATACTGGTTTGTGAGTTGTGTTTCTTTTAGTTGTTGTTGGTTTTGTTTCTTTTGGTTAGATGTGAGATATATCGGTATTGCTAGGTTTTATTGAGTATTTTCTTTGGCTTCATCTATTGGTAACCGTATGTTTGTGGTAAAAAAATAAAGTTGACTGTTTTTAAGAAAACATAACTTTCATTATGAGAACCCCAATATCGATCAACGATGAACTTATACAAGTGAGGTTGAAAAAACATAACAACTATAAAACTCAAACTACGAGGGTATACGCTTACACATATTATTGCAAACAGAAAAAGAAAATAAAAACATTAAAAATCACACATAAAAGCTTTTAAAATAAAAGCGAAGCAGGTTGGTGTTCTTTGAACAACCCAAGACTAGCACCTAACTTTAGTGGTTCAAATTCGTCCTTTGGTACTCCATGGGACGAGTGGCCTTTCGTCTAGGGGCAGGAATAGGCCAAATACTAGACAATGTGGGACCAAGGAATGTGGGGAGCTGTGTGACAACCAAAAGGATGATCCCCAGTGACAAAAATATATAAGAGGGAAGTGCATTGTCCAATTTTCGACCGTCATCATTGAGAGCGAAGAAATCAGCAGCACAGAAAGAGACCCAAAGACAAACAATGGAGACGAACATGAAGTACATACCAAAGTAAAGTTTGCAAGGAACGTATCTCCAAGAGCGAACGGATTGGGAACGAGAAGCAGCAACAGAAAGGAAGCAGATGGTGGAAATGAGGGAGAACAAGAAGGCTAATAATGAAGATACTGCAAAAATTTTGAATACGGCCTTGTTTCTAAGGATTGCATAGCCCTTATAAGCATCATAACTGCCAGGCAAACTGGTACGTGTGGCGAAAGCCACTGATGCAACTAGGGTTGACACCACAGAACATGCTTGTGAGGTTTTAGATGCCCACTTTCCTTCGCTTTTCATAAGTTCCTTGTGACTCTCTCTGAAGATGTCATCTGGGGTCTCCATTTTCCTATTGTATCTCTCCAAGAGACCATGGGGCATTGAATTCTTCACAAACTGTGTCAAATAAATCTTTGAAATAATGGTCTACTTTAATTTATGGGTTAAGATGCAAATTCATCTTAGGAGCTTTTTGCTCATGAGCATTGTTGCCCCAGAAATTTTTTTCTTTTGAGTTCAATGTCACCCCGAAAGTTTCAAAACATAGCAATGTTAACTCAACTTTATTAAAATATTAGCGTTGATAGTTAAAAAATGACTTTTCTTGTTAATAACACTACTCCACTCCATTTGAATACTTATGGGGAAAATTTGAACCTTAGAAAAAGTTTTGGGTGATATTCAATATTTTAATTTTCGTGTGACCTCATCACTAGAAAATGCAGAGATACGCACCTCGAACCAATTGATTTCCCTTAATATGGTGAGTGCTTCCCCAGGATTGAGCCAATCGAGCTCAACTCCAAGCTTTGCTGCCAAGTGCAGGGCATTATTTCCTTGTTTATCTACTTGCCGAAACAGACTTTCAGTTAGCCCTTTTGTTTGCACAAAACCTGAATACTTCCGTCTGCCTATATTCCACTGCTAGAAGAACTATACTCTTTTCCTCAGCATTTACATCTTTAATCCTTGACGGAAATAATTCTAAAATTTTTTCCACCATTTCTGTAATACCTTTTTAGTGGCAATCATTAGAGGTGTCTCAATGTTATTGTTCCAGACACAGATGTTGCCATTGAGTCCATCTCTACATATCCGCCAATGCCATTCATAGTCCAAATCAAACCACAAAAAATTAGTTTATAATTCCAAGGTTTTTGTCGCCGCAAAAATATACTCATAGTATTGACCACTATCATTATATATCATGGTAAATATACGACTATCATTGCTGAAGTGCATATATACATATATATATTATCAGGTCTATATATATATATATATGTATATGTATGTATGTGCTAGGAACAATGAGTATAAAAGATTTAATATGAGCATGTGTGTGTGTGTGTTCATGAATGTTTTTACCATTATCCTCTTCTGTTTGCAGAGAAATTGAAAGTTGCTCAGAGGTGGTTCTCGATATTATTTGTGACATATCTTCGTCAGAAGCATGCTGAAGAAGTTTGCTCATTATTTGAAGCGCCCATCTGTGCTTCTCCTTCATTTTTCGTATCTGATGGCACCATATCCCTAAGAATATTCAGGCCCACTATGTAGGTCAGTATAGACAAAATATTTTTTTAAACCAAGCAAAGTGATGAACCAGTAAGTAGAAGGGACAAATGTATTAAATTGCACGAATTTGAAGGACTAATAAGTTGCATCAAAATAAAATTTGAGAATTGACTTATAACTGAGTAAAAATTTTAGGAACTAAACTAGTACTATTATTTTTTTCTATATATTATCTCCTAATATATCATCGTTACATATTGTTAAAGGCAAGGTCTCTAGCTAATGCTACTTAAAGCAAATGCAATTTTGTCAATGGACAGAAGCAAGTGGCTAGTGAGTAACGCATACGGACATTTTTGAATAAGCTTGACCTTTGCTCCATGGGGCCTTGTGGCATTGTTGCAATTCTTCTAGTGTCGTGGCCTGATTCTTCCCCTCAACTTTTGAAAACCCTTCAAATTTCCAAGCAAACAAGCCATATGCATATTATATATATATATATATATATATATATATAGACACACTACCTCCGGTCCTTAATATAAAACTTAGTTGATTAATTTGGAGAGATTAGAAAAGCTAAATAATGACCTGATCATAACATATGTTATAATCTTTCTGAAATACTTATATGTATTATTAATTATATATGATTTTATTAGTCAGGCAAATTAGCTTGAAGAAAAACAACAAATATTTATAGTTGAAAATAATTTATTTAGCTTCCTTAATCTTTCCAAATTAGTCAATTATATCTTATATCAAGGACAAGAGGCATCATATATAAAAAGTGCAATATTTCTCTAGTGTCTTTAATGATGGTATAATGTTGTTATAGAAAGCTCGAAATGCATAAGAAGGCGAAAAAGCATGAAATCACACCCACACAAATGTAGATATATGTATGTATGTACACATTGCAATGTATTCCCTTCACAAACAATATACTCTTCTGGTCTTTAATATAAGATCTAATTGTTAAATTGATTTTAGTCTTAAATATAAGACCTATTTATCATATTTATTAATTTTTTTCTAAATTATCCTTATGGATACTCCCTAACCATGATCAAATAGAAGATGGATGGATATTAAGGAAGATGATTATGGTCTTTTAGGAAAAATATGTTACATTTCTTATAATTAACTAACTTATCTAACTTTCTTAATCTAATCAAATTAATTAAAGAGGCCTTATATTAAGGACCGGAGGAGTAGCTTACAATAAATTGGATGGCCGAGGATTGATAGTTCAAGTAGCCCAACACTTTTGAAAGCTGAGCGCTTTGCTGCCAGGAGATGAAGTGGAGACAATCCTTCCTTGTTGCGCCTCATCCTTCTTACAAGATCTTTATAAAGGTGAACTATTTCGACTGCTACATCTGCACTTAGGAATACTTCATCATAAGTACTTTAACACTATATGAAAGAATGAATGCTAGTTTAGATTTACCAAAATGTCCTTCTTCGATTGCACAGTGAAGAATGGTATCATCGTTATCCCTTATACAGTGAGCAACGTCAGTTGAAGAAATTCGATGGCTTGCCACATATAGATAATGAAGCCAGAGAAAAGCTTCCTTCCTACCATTAAGAGCCGCCAGGAAAAGGGGCGTCTCCCCGGCGATGTTGCGTCTAGTGATTAATGAGGGGTCTGTGCCACCGATCTTCCTGCACATTTCAACATTTCCCATTGTTGCTGCTAAGTGCAGAGGCGTATTCTTTCTATCATTTTTAGATCCAAGGACGTTGTTCGCTTTCCAGCTTTCCTCATCATCTTCATCCACTATAACCACCACATTATTCTGACCCAACTTATTCTCTTCAAGAACTAACAAGTTCACCATGTTTGCCACCACCTTCTCTTGCCCATTAGACACAGCCATGTGCAACACTGTGTCTCCTGTTCCCGTTATCTTGGCTGTGCGTAGCGCCCTTTCTTGTACATACATTTCAAATACTTTTGGCCACTTGCCTCTCATAGCATTGCTTCGTAGTTTCTCCAGTTTTACTTCCTCGGCACTAACTGACGAATTCATTATCTCCTGCAGATTAAATTCAAATGGTGTAAATTAGATATATGTGTGCGTGTGTGTGTGTGTATATATAGTTATGGAAGTTGGAAATATTGAATTAGGCAGTAGAAAGCTCTTGATTGTTTTCCTTTAGGAGAATTATTGTGAGTTCTCAAAAAAAGGATTTAATTATCAAAAAATCTCAATCTGAGCATCATAAATTGTTGTCATCATAGACCCAGATCTTTTAAATGACTACTAAATTTAAACAGCTACCCAATAACGTAAATGAGAAGCGTAGGCCTTAGTTATGGAGGACTCGACCAAAAAGGCACCCCAAAAAGAAAATATAATCATGACATCCAAAAGAATAGAGGAAAAAACTTGAAGAAAGAGAAGATGATGAATGAGGAGGAGAAAAATGTAACCAACAACAACCAAGAAGAAGAAGTCCATGATATCAAAAAAGCAGAGGCTTACTAAATTAAAGAAACAGCAGAACGAGACTGTTACTTCACCCGAACCAAGTCTTAAAGAAGCAGAGAGTGTGGAGAAGGGAGACAAACAACGAGCCATTATATAGAAAACAAGGAGACCATATATTCCCTTTAATCTTTCTTCTAATTCTACCTGACTGTGAAATTCCAAACGAAAATCAAAGGAAATTTCTTTATCAGCAACCTGCCGACAATTCAATCAGCAGCGTAAGAAGCGGGAGCAAAACAGAAGACTTACACGCGGGTCAATAGAGAGTTCAATAACCCGAAAAAGACGAAAACTAGGTCCAGCCCTGCTTATGAATTATGATCTACAGCTAGCAAATGGTAGAGATCCACATCTCTTTAATGCCACTTGAAAATCGAGAAAAGGGAAGAATACTAGCTCACAATCAATATGTTACTTAAATAATGGTTAAGAATGATTTTGGTTCTGTAATTATTTTTGAAGGTGTTGTGGGCATTAGGGAAGAATACCAGCCCATAATCGAGAAAAGGGAATGCGCACGCTTATACAGAGCCTGCCTAACTTAGCTTACTTGTATCCACTGTTCATTGACAGGAACATTAAAATTTTGCTGGCGAAAAGTAAATGCTGCAGGCGATACACAATAGAACTCATGGTGTATTTGAATTAGCTTTTACAGGATAAATTTGAAGTATAATAGATTTTAAAAAGACAAAAATATATATTTAGTCTTTTAAATTTATACTTTATACTTTTAGTTTTTTAACTTTAAAATTATTTTAAAAAAATGATAATATTAAGATCTTAAATATCAGTAAAATATTCTTAAATATTAACATATTAAGTTTAATTTTCAAAACATCCATGATTGTTTCAAAAAAAAAAAAATTAAAATCTAATGTTTTGGAAGTTAAAGGATCAAATATATGCTTTGTTTAAATTAAGAGGCCAAATTAAAACTTTATACAAAATTAAAAGACAAAATATATAATTTAGCTTTTTGAAAAAAAAAAGACTTTTTTTTCCCCTCTAAAGTGATATTGATAACCGTTCACTGATTCTAAGGACCAAAATAATCTCATGGCTAGCTTGTGAAACTTGTGGATCTTGACATATACGCAAATCGTTTCATGCGCAGGTGTCTCCTGTCACTACTGTAAAGTCCACAGGAACATGAGCTCACAAAGGAACTAGACAGGTTCTCATTCATAAGACTCCAGACAGTCTATGTCTCCAATAAGAGTTTATGTTTGTCATGTATAGATCCCGAAAGCAAGAAGACATGTTTGCCCATGGGTTTCTCCATCAGGCTTTGTTCAACAACATTCTGATCTTCCCATGAATAAATTCACCAAAGCATCACACTAAACTATCAGCCCAACAAACTTAGCGAAGATGATGTGTGGCAGAAAAATGTGTATAAGGAGTTAGAGGTCCACACGGTAACATACCCTAATCTTACATTTGAGTGATTAGTTATACAAAACATATATTGATGTATTTCTTAACTGTTAAACAACATAATGCAATCAGACCAAATTTCCAGGGCATCCTGTGTCAACTCTATGCTGAGATTAGTATCCCCGTTCATGTGTTCCTCAGAATTGATTTCATAATCCCCCACCAGCCAGTTGAGAAGTTCAAACCAAGTAACTTCTGAAGCTGGCTCAGAAGTTCAAATCAAGGAACTTCTAAGTTAGGACAGAGTTAAAGCCGAACCTCATTTATCGTGGGATTCAACGCTTTCGGTCAATTGTTGTGACCTGCATTGTTTTACTGGAATCAGAAGTCAACCCAGATGATTTTACAAGAATCAAAAGACAAATCTTCCTTATTCAAGTCTTCGCCAACTAAAGAGAAAAAAGTTGTAGTCTTGTAGAACGCTCATTTGGACTTTTCTCTCTAATCAATTGGTGCGATTGAAATATCTCTTGTGATATTTCAATATTATATCACCCCAATATTGGTGCAGTTTAAATGTCCCAAGTGGTAGGAAAATACTAAAATCCTAGTATAGTGTACCAATCTCTCACATGATAACTTATAATGGAGCACATAAATATCATGTGTTGAGCATTATCATTACAACAAGACCCACACCAGACACAAACAATTACCAAATTTGAGTGTGATTGATGCCAAGTCCGTTGCAGGTAAGTATCATCCCTTTGAATCTGGCAAGATATTCCTGTGTAGCATTGGGGGTATGCTCATTGTTTAGAATCCAATGAGACAATCATAAAAATTATAAATAAATAATTTATATTTTGAATGAAATTTACATTCAATACCTGCAAGCTATACTTGTCAATCTCGTAGATTCCAGTTAAGTCATATTCAATTCGTTTGGCAGGATCACTCAACACTAGGAAAAGTCAAAGGATAACTATATAATCAGCAAAGATCCAAGATTGCCACTTAAAAAAAAACGGATTGCTATTTTCTAACCATATGTGAGGGAAAAAGAAAAAGAATAAAGTCCAACCATTTATGGCTACAGAGTAAATTTACTTCATGACCGGCAGATGCGCTTATCAGTTTTTAATTTTGTTAGAGGATCAAACTTAGATTCTCGAGCCAGCAATAGCAATATTGTGATTATGCAGCCGTCCCTTAACCCAAAAACACACTACGACCAAAACCAAACTTGGATATGGTATGAAGGGATCCATTAAGCTCCGTTTTTGGTGCACAAAAGACTAACAGCATGGTTGTTCAACTAGAATATCCTTCATTAATCTGCATGTGTTGGTTTCCCTTCAATCTGTGGGTAAATGGAAGATTTTAGATGGTAAGAGCACTGCTTCACATTGCCACCAGCCACAAATATTCCATTTGCCTGCAAATCGAAGAGACCCAACCTGTGTAGAGGGTTAATGAATGACATTTTAGTAAACAATGTCGCATTGGGTCTCCGACCACCAAAAAATAGGCTGAACAGGCAGACTCAAATCCAGAATTTTCTTTCAAGTATGGCATGTTTATGGGTTTTTAAGAGAGGTCAAAGAATATTATCATGAGAGGATAAACAATGTCTCACAGATGGGGAAGTATTTACTCAAAAAATAATCTAACGAACCAGGGTTATAGTTTGTGAAGAATGAAACGTAAGTGCTAAGTTGGATTTCTGTCAATTAGAGTTGTTGAATTAGCGATGACTTATCATAATGTCTGAAATTAGCTTCACTTGCATTAAACTCCCAACTAGGAAACAAATCTTCGGTTTATACACTCCTGAAATTAGTTTACGACAAAAGGGGATCAGAAAAGGAAAAAAAATAACAAAACAATGGGCCAACAAGAGTAAGAGCACCAAACAACCCAAGAAAGACTACATTTCAAATCCACATGAACATTGACAAAGACATGGGAACAGAATATTTTATTATTAATAAAAGAGTTTATGGTTACCATTGTAAGCCTCATTGATTTCTTGGAATTTTGCAGTAACAGCACTATCACCTCTGTGCTTGTCAGGATGCCATTTCTACAACAATCCAAGCACAATCAGGGATGAGTGAGAACTCAAACTTCTAGTAAAAAGAAACTACAGAATGAAAAAGCATAGAGAGAACCACTCCAGGAGCTATCAATAAAGGATAGCTAACCAACCAGTGCAAGCCTTCGGTAATTGAATTTGATATTTTCATCAGTTGCATCATAATCAACCTCCAACACTTTGTAAAAATCCTTGAAACAATGTAAAGATCAACATCAAGAACTCATCAATCAATAGAACACTTCAAACAATATCGAGGCATGATAAACATAGAATTTGAACTTTAAGGAACAAAAGCTATCTAACTCAAGACTAAAGTTCGAGATAGGAGATTATTACTGTGCATGATAGTTTCAGCTAAAGATATGATTTATGATGATAATAGTTCAAGCCGTGAAGTTATGATATGAATCCAAAAAGTTAATCATCTAATGCAGAAATGATGTGCTCAAAAGATAATTATCTAACTCATTAGACATGTACATTTTGAGGCCTTGTTGCCTAAAGTATTTTAGAGATCTAGTGCTGCAAGGACACCTTTCACCTTTGACTACCTTGGAGATATAAGAGGTTTCCAAAATCATATTGATAAAGGAGAATATTCAAATGAAGACCATGACAGTCTTATTGATAAAGGAGAATATTCAAATGAAGACCATGACAATCTCTAGGCATGTAAACTCATAAAGGATTAAAGCATAATGAAACATATAGCTGGAGGAAAGCCAGTGAATTACAGTGAGTAGCTTTCAACATATGTGCAGAGCACTTTTTAAGTTCATCATTAAACTTCCGCAAACTGCAGTAATGATCACAGTGTGAGAGCGTATTGTACTTACAAACTCCAAATTGGGAGTTGGAAATTGTTTAGAAACACCCCCCCGGCCACCAAAAAAAAAAAAAAAGTATATTGGATTTCCAACACATTGTTTTGCAAATTTCAAGCACAGAACTTATAGATGAGCGAGATAAAGATTTTTGAAGCAGCTGATCAAAGTAGGTGTATCCACACAAGTCAACATGAACCACAGCCAAGATTAACCAAGTTGTTATCTATACAAGTCAATTAAATGGAACACCATGCATTTCCCAACACCTCCACTTGCATGTTCAGCAACTTAATTTACATTTACAAACTACAAAAACTTGCCAGAAGCCTAATTGCATTATTCCTTTTACAAGGAATACTGACACTAGTGTAGGTTTCCTCAACTTCAATATGCTAACCCCAAATTATTTTATATGAGCTTCCTTACTCCAAAAAAAGAAGTCAAAAGGGAAACAAAACGGTAAACCCGAAAAAAAAAAATTGAGAATCAGGAAACTGCAGATGTCTGATTTTAGAGGCTACTTTTACTTTTCTTCTCCTACTGTTTCTCCCACGAATAAACTAGCGCAACAAAAATGGAGCCGAAAAGTAGTAACGCCAACCAATATTAAAGTACACCTTCTCACTAAGACAATCAAAGAAAAAGGCAGAAATGAAAAGGAACTCGCTCAGCTAGGTTGCGATAGACGAAATACCTTTGATTTCGTATCGTCACCGCTTTCCATCTGCTAACAACATGGGTTCGACAAGTGCAGCTTCATTGACATAATTCATTGGATAGAAAACCCAGAACGCTAAATTTGGTACAGTACAAATACAATGCCTCAACCACCAAATCACATAGTGGCTTGAAATCGAAGAAAGAATTCGAAATAAAAACGAGAAAGAGACAGAGATGATGATGATGACGACGATGGAGAATTAGAAACTGTGTGGTGGAATATTTGATTCGGAGAAGAGAAGTGTAGAGAAGCCGCGTACGCCACAATTTGGCCTTGGGATTGAATTTCACGCGATTTTTGTCTCCGAATATGTTTGGCTGTTTGTATTTATCCGTTGTATACATGTCCGCCATTGCAATTTCCAACCGCAGTTTGGGGGAATTTATTTATTTATTTAAGAGGTGTTCGGATAGATATGGTTTCAGAAATGTTTTTACAGTTTATGAAATAAATATGTAAAGAATTTGTCTCGTTTTGTAGAAAAATACTTTTAAAACCATGATTTGGAGGTTGCCAAACACCCCTTATTTACTTTTCCACTTATTTTTATTCCCCTTGTTTTCTATTATATTTACACTTTTTTTGCCAACTATTATATCTAGATGTAGACTATAATTAATTAAAAGAACAATCTTTTATTTTTGGCCAAGTGGAACTTTTTTTAATATACTTCCTGATTGATAATAGACTATCAAGGTCTTCACCACCTAATTTGAGAAGAAATTATCTAAATTACTCATAAAAGTATAATTAGTAAGAAGTCGGCTTATAATATTTAAGATTGTGAGTTCAAATCTTGTTACTAATATGAATACCTTGTTGATGGGTAATATGTAAATATCTTTGTAAATACTCTCTGAACTTGGAGGTATATCCTAGCTTTGATAAATTCTCATGACTCAATTGACGTGATTTTTTTATAAAAAAAAGCTTTTATGTTACTAGAAACCACCAAGGACCAATAACTAAGTCCTTATAAAACTATAATAACCAAAACCATCAACTTAAAATTACAGGATTAAACTAAAATTAAGTCAAATTGTAAGGGCAAATAATAATATTAACCTTTTTTTTTTTTTCAGTTAATCACTCCCTTTTCCACAATATTACATTACCCCATAGAAGATTAAACCTCCTTATTTCATAACTCCTTTAACCAGGGCAAGATAGGTGAATTGTACGTTATCGTTATATAATAATGGAATCCTTCCGCTTGCATCTTCAGTTGGACACATTGTAATTACACTTCACATCTCCACCCTGGGCAATTCGGCAAGTGAAATAGTCCCCACAAATGGGCCTCGACTTGGGCCTTAATACCATGCTCCTTCAGCCCATCAGGCTCATATTGAAGCTACAGGCTTGACCCATAAATATCGAATGTTGAGCTGGTGTTGTTTATTATAGGTTTATTTTGGGCTTCCAATAATCTGAAATGAAGTTCTACGTTCATTTTCGTTTTCTTAGGATGTTTTGGTAACTAAGAAAATGCTTTTAAGAAATATTTTTTTACAAATTGAGATAAAATTATCCACATATTTATTTCATATATTGAAAAATTACTTTTAGAATCATGATTTGATATTCATGCAAACACTTTTTGATTCTTAATTAATCTGATAACATAGGAGTCTTCTTTTTCCAACTATTTGTGTCAGATCATATACACAGTGAGAGAGAGAGAGAGAGAGTATATTCAATGGTTACCAAATCTAAGGACAGGCTCTAAACAGTTGAAGATTATATACTCTTCCAGTCTTAAATATAAAACCTTTTTTGTAGTTAAAATTACACTATAAAAGGAGTCTTATATTTAGGACAGGAGAAGTAAATGATTTTTTGGGCCAATGGTTACATAGATGGTTTTAAACATTAAATTATTAGATAAATTAAAAGTAAGATAAATTAGTTTACGGAAAAGATTATAAATTACAAGAATTTTAAAATTGACATGATGACAGGAATTTAAAATTATTTTTTACTTTCAATTTTGTCGTCCACTCATTAAAGTTTGAATTCTCTCACATTACCAAGTGTTTCTGAGGTTTAAGTGGAAAAGAGAAAAATATCAAAGTGCCCCCAGCTGTAAGCCTACACAGATATGGCAAGACAAAAATACACCACTCAACCACAGCAGTCTAAAACATAGCAATAATGGTTGATATATTCCAAAACAATTTCCTCCAACTACTTATCCGCTATTTATAAAATAAATTTATATCTTTATTTTTTTTCAGTCTATTTCGTTTCATAATACTTCCAGGATGGTCGAAGTTACATCATTAAAAAATTATCGATGTCTTTAATTGTTGATCCATCACGTCGTATGGACAATAAAATTGTTCTTATAAAACATATATGTCATGAAAGATCAGGTAAAAAAAATATTATCGTGTCGTGTTCAATGGAGTGCATTACTAGCTTTTTTATTCTGTTTCTGATTTAGAGTGACATGTAAGAAAAACAATTACCTATATATTATTCAAAAATTAAGCTCAATTCAAAATCATGTTTACCTTAATCTCGTTGTGAAAGCCGCGAGCGATCTACCAACAATTAAATAATCGGTTCTTTTCATTGCGTACATACATCGGTATAAAAATTTATACACAAACTTGGAAAAAATAAAATGAATAATAAATTAATAAATTTTATAATGACCATCTATTTTACCCTTATCAGGGCAATCATGGTTAGGCATGACTTAGTTAATTTGCATTATTATTGCTGATAATATATATCATTCCAAAAAATAGTATTAAAAAATTTGTTTCATCTTGTAATAGTGAGATGTGAAAGCGATTACTTTCCTTAAAAAAAATAAAGGGCGAGTCAAAATGAGCTTCATTTAATTATATGGAAATAGCAGCCGGCCGGACTCGAAGTTGTAAACAAACAATCGTCATAAATTTATTTATTTTTGTTATAACTTCATCCATTATACACACACACACACACAGAGTTATACATATAGTAGTTGGATTTCTTCATAGTGTCACTCTAGCTCCTTCTCCTTGTCCTTCCTCCTCCTCCTCCTCTTCTTCTGACCAGTCAAATTCTGTATTAATTATATTCACGGAGGCTTTGCCAATGAGCTCCTCACCACAGGCTATCACTTGCAAAGGTATCAATTTTATATTTATTCATATCTTCCTATGATTTACTTTTGCGCCCCTGCGCTGGTTTTCAGAAGAAATAATATATGATGAAGATATAGATATGTATATATTTTCGATCTAGACTGTTCAGATTAGATGTACTCAGGCGATTTTCAGTTTGTATTGTGGTTGTATAGGTGCCGTATGTTGGGCAATAGGAGAGGGAGTGAAGGAGGAGGAGATAGAAGTAGAGCCTCCAAAAGCTTCAGAAGTTCGAGTTAAGATGCTTTGTGCTAGTGTTTGCCGTTCAGACATCTTTTCCACTCAAGGACTCCCACATGTTAGTCATCTGATCCCTTTATATTGAGAGGAATTGCATAGATATTCATCATTTAAATTGTTAAAATTATGTAGATTCCTTCATATATTTTCAAAACCAGATTGTGGGCACAATTTATCTAAAATTTTAATTGTAAATAGATGAGAAATCTAAGTAATTCATGGAAATTCACGGTTGAAGTTTTTAACATAGAAGGTAGCCCATATATAACTATAGAAAACTCAAGTCCGGTTTGATTTTAAAAATGGAGATATTTTTTGGTTGTTTTAACAAACTTAACAGAGGTTTTCGTACTCTAATATATTTTTTAAGAAATTTTGCATTGATTTTAAAACTAGAGAAAATTCCTTAGCAAAACAAGTTAGCGTTTGTATAAGGTCCATAAAGGAAAAAAAAAGTTCCACCTAATTAACACATATTCATATTAATCTTGAGTTCGAGCTTGATGTGGTCAAAGTCAATAATCATACGTTATTTTCTTCTTCTGTTATTTGTCTTCAATTATTGGTGTGCAGGCCAATTATCCTCAAGTTCTAGGCCATGAAGGAATTGGGTGAGCTCTATAAACTGCAGTCCTTTCTTGTGTTTAAGCCAAAATAAATTGTAAGCTTATAATGATGCTTCTTTTATCGGTACAATATTATTATTATATATTGATTATACTATATTTTTTGTTAATTCCTTCTATGAAATTAATTTTACTTTTCTCTCTTAATTATTTTCAAAATAATGTCCTCAGAAAACGTTTCCAAAGTCCAAGTCAATTTAGCCAGTTGGTTGCAATAGAAAAGTCAATTTCGAAAGAATAGTGACATAAGAAATTATATATTTGGCGTATCATCATGTGAAGGGAGGTAGGCTTGACTTTTTGCCTGAGTGCAGCCACGGCAATTAATTTAATAGATTAATTACTTTTCTAAAAAATACTTATATTACATGTGAACTTTTTCTTTTTTTTAAAAAAAATACTTTTTTATTTTATTAGATATATTAATCGTTACTCTAATTTTCTTTGGAATTAAAAATAAAAAACTTAATTATCTGATTTGATCAAAACATTTATATGTTCATTAATTTATGTGATATAAAAATATTACATATATATTTAGCAAGATAGAATAGTATTAAAAAATTTTAACAGATTAACGAAAATATTTTTATAACCCAGAAGAATATGTTGGTCAACTCTAGCTCTTAATAAAGAAAATAAATATTTAAAAATTATCTGAAAAAATAATAATACGGGCCAAACTCTCATGATGTATTAAGTAGTAACCTAGGATATGATTTAGATTTAGATTTAAAATAATGAGCCAAGTAAAAGTGTAACTTGAATAAATTACACTTTTAAAATTCTTCAAACTTATGATGATGAATGAAAAATATATTTATTAAATGCAGTGTTGTGGAGAGCAAAGGGGAGGAAGTGAAGAATGTGAAGGTAGGGGATATGGTGATTCCACTGTACCTATCAGAGTGTGGAGAATGTGAGGTTTGCATAAAAGGGAAGACCAACTTATGCATGAGATACCCTATAAGGTTGAATGGGTTGATGGCAGACAACACTTCTAGAATGTCTGTGAGAGGTCAAAAGGCATATCATCTCATGAGTTGTGCCACATGGTGTGAGTATATGGTCATTGATGCTAACTATGTTCTTAAAGTTGAATCATCAGCCATTGATGCAGCTCATGGCAGCTTCATCTCTTGTGGTTTCTCTACTGGTTTTGGGGCTGCCTGGAAAGAAGCCATGGTTGAAGAAGGATCCAGTGTTGCTGTTTTTGGTCTTGGTGCTGTTGGATTAGGGGTATGCATCTCTCTCTTTGATCTGCTGATATTATGCATGAGTTCTCTCATTGAGTACAAATTTACTATTTTGTATGTGGTATATTAGATGATGAGTACTTCTTTTATGGGATAACTTTATCAATGTATTTTTTTTTAATTCCCAAGGTTTGAATTTAGCATTATGCTCTCTTTCTCACATAAGAGCAAGTCCGACTGCACTTCATCAAAACCATGTTGAGTCATTAAATATTTTTCAAAATGAAAAAAAAGTTTCCAAATTTTCCCATATTTAGAATTATGAATTACATCTTGAGAAGTTAAAAAGGAAAATTGCATCAAACTTTTAAGTAGGAGCAACTTTGGGAAAGTGTGATTAATATATTGTTTTGTGATTCATAACAAGAAACCTTCTTTCCTTTTAAGAAGTGTCTTATGCTAGGGATCAGAGGGAGTATAATCATATATTCTTTTCAATCCACAATATAAGTCATTTTAACTAATTCATCAAAACCAAGAAATCGTAGTGAGCTCATTAAATAATCGATCTCAAATTCAAATTTATTTATAACTTTACCCATATTAAATGAGATTGTGAAAAATAGGGGAAAAAATATTAGGAGTTTAATTTAAGTATTAATTGCAGGGACAAATTTGACAAATAAACATTAATTTATATTTTGGACCAATCTATTCTTTTAGAAGCAACTTATATTGTGGACCAAATGGAGTAATTCTAATACACTCACATTTATCCTCACTTAGCTTAGACATATATTACTCTTCAATATGGGATTTGAAGTCCTATTTCTTCAGATAGGGTTAAATTTTTACGTATACATATGCAATTAGTACTCGCACATATATGATGAATTTATAATGAAGTTCAAGTGCATTGGTACTAGGTGGATTGCATATGTACTTTCTTAGTAGGTGATATGAGCACAAGTAGAGATTATGGCTAGCAATGATGCAGGCTGTAAGTGCAGCAAAATTGATGGGGGCAACGAAGATAATTGGGATCGACAAAAATGAGAAGAAGAGAGAAAAGGGAGAAGCTTTTGGAATGACACACTTCATAAATCCTGACAAGTTATCAGATAAACCTCTTTCAGAGGAAGTCAAAGAACTAAGTGGTGAAATAGGGGGAGTGGATTATTCTATTGAATGCACGGGAGTTCCCTCTTTGCTCAACGAAGCCATGGAATCTACTAAAGTGGTACATTTCATTCTCCAATTTCTCCGCCTGCATAAAAACTATAGGTCTAATAGCATAAGTTTTCTTACTTATAAAACGACAAAATAATTAGATAGGTATTGAGTATTTGACCAAAAGAAAATGAAAAAGAGTAAACAAATAGTGAAATTTACCTATTAATTAATGGTGAAATAGGTGATATTCAAGTTGTTCTCATGCAATATCTGTACAGGGAGTGGGCAAAACTGTAGTGGTTGGTGCAGGAGCTGAATCTGTGCAGTTGAGTTATGGCACCATTCTTTATGGAAGAACATTGAAAGGTTCTGTATTTGGAGGAATAAAGCCCATCCCTGATCTTCCTTTTATAGCTCACAAGTGTCACACAAAGGTTAGTATCTAAAATAAATTTTGGACAAATAATCCTCTTTCATTTTAGGCTGATAACAGTGAATTGAAAATAGAGTAAATAAATTGATTTTTTTAAAAAAAAAATTTTGTAGAAATTTTCTGATGAGTAATTTCTAAAAGCTATGTATATTTTTCTTAAAAACACTAAAAATTGTAATCCCCTCCAATGTAATACGAACTTCTTATATATCTATTTTCAAGAGAAGTTTCTATGTATTTTTTAAAATAGAAAGAATATCTAAGATAGTATGTGTAATTTTATCTTTATCTTGAAAAAAAATTGAGGAAGTTTTGAAAAAATGGGATTATGTTTGCATAATTTTGACGAAATTCAAGGAAAAAAGTATGTTAAAAATCGAGAAGAGATCAGTATAATAATTTTCATAAGAACTCAAGCAAGCCTGCATAATAATATCTTCAAGTAATCACTGGGCTTATGAAAAATGGCATCGATTTGAAAAGATTATCCATGTGACATTTCTTGTAACATTTAATCAGCAAAATTTCTAAGAGAATTATGTCTACTGAAAAGCTTCTACAGCACATATCTACATTCAGATGCACAAGGTTATTCTTAATATGCTCAGAGATATTGTCACTTGGTATTTGCTAATTAATAGGTTAATTTTCTTATTACAGGAAATTCCAATTCATGAACTTTTAACCCATGAGATCCACTTGGAAGATATAAGCAAAGCATTTGGGCTAATGAGACATCCAGATTGCGTCAAAGTTGTGATCAAGATATGACATCATAGGTCATTGTGATCTTTGGGGGAGAAAAGGAACTAAATTTCAAATAAAGAATGACACGTGGGAAAGAGATTGACATAATGCACGTAATTTATCATTATGCAACAATAATATAAGATACACCATGTTAAATACTCCTTCGATCTTAAATACAAGACTCATGTAGTAATGTAGTTTACATACAAAATGAGCATCATATTTATTACTAGAGTAGTATTACATTAATCTTCCTCTCTTCTCACCGCTTAATTTGAAAAGAAATTCTCTGAGAGCATCCATTTAAAGTCATAATCTGCAATTTTTGAAACTTAATTTATCCTCCAAGTCAATTTGACTCCGTTAATATTTAAAGAATTATAAGAAAGCCTAGATTATTACAGTTTTATTAGAGGCACTTTAGCAAACAATGACCATGGTTAATCAATGTAATTGACAAGAAACAGTGAAGCATCATGATTGCTCAATGTAAACATTCAATTGAAAAAAAAGAAGAAGTAGATATCACAGCCACAGCTTCCTTTCCTATTAATGATCATCTCAATGTAATTGACTAGAAATATCAAATCGTAATTGTTCAAATAATACAAGAACAAAGTGGTACATCAATTACAAATCCGTCTTATGGCCATGGCTCCACTTTCCTGTCAAAGATGTTCCCATACGTAGAAACAAAAGTGTGAAGAAGAAGAGGGAATTCTGACATCACAAAAAGGACGATCGGAACACTTGCAAGTATAGTAATGGGAAGGACACCCCATGAGTAGTTTGTATGCTTCAACATGAGACGAATGGTACAAAGAAAGGCTACTATCATACTTACAATGGAGATAAAAAGAAAAGAAAGACCCAAAATCAATTTTGTAGGTAAGGATTTGAGGAACTTTTCTTCTGAAAATTGAGAGGTAAGGATTGCTAGAAACATTAGAACCGAAGTTGAAGAAGAGAGAAGTGATAATATGGTTGAGAATATGAAGACCTTAAAAAATGGTTGTTTGATGAATAATGGGTATCCAAGATTTTGATCATTTCCTCCTGGAACAGTAAATGCTACCGCAAACATAATGGTCACAATTAGGGTACCAACAACTGAACATGAAGATGCTGTGGTCTTTATCCATTTCTCTCCTTGCTTCATTAACTCTCCATGACTTCCTCTGAATAATTCTTCAGCTGTCATACCATTTTTGTTTCGAAATATTCTATAGCTTGGAGGTGTTAAACTCTCCACTTCCTGCATTTATTTCAAAAAGTATTGCCTTTATGTTCTTCTTGTCAAGACCAGATAGACTCTACTATATAACCGGTTTGGGAGAAAACGACAAAGGAAGTGGAACTTTGGTTCAAAGCCAGGCATCATGAGATTTACTAGTTTTGTGATGCCTTTAATTATTCTAGAACACTCAACATGCCTTTAAAGAAAGTGGAACTCGTATAGGAGAACAGTCTCAAATACTTGCTGACAAGTTGTACTTAATTGATTAATTTATGCAATACTCAATTATAACAGATTCAATCTTATATGAGATTATGATTTAAAAATTAAATCATGTCTTTCTCTAACCTTGAACCATTGTAGTTCTCTTTGCATTTGTAGTGTAGGTGCGTAGATACGATTAAGAACGTGATCAGGAGCCTTCATAGCTGCCTTATGCATCAAGTAATTTCCATTATGATCAGGTGTAGTTGTTACCAGCCCGTGCTTGAAGCGAAGCCCATGGATAAGATTGAAAACCCTAGCTTGTCGATAGTGAAGAGCTTCATCGAAACACATAAGCAATGTCTGATCGAGGAAATCTCTGGGATTACTTTTGATACTTGAAACACAAACTCCACATTCCCTTCTTTAGCTGCAAGACATAAAGCCTCCTTTATAACTCCCTTTTGGTATGCCTTCCCTGCATTCTTGCAAACTAGGAGAAGAAGTTCATCTGCTTGTGCATGCAGCAGCTTTAACTCTTGTATTTTCTTTACTCCTACATTGATACGCATCACACATGGATCTTTTAGTTAGTTTAATCTGATTTATGAAAGTTAAGAGTAAGCTTGGACATGTAACCAATTCTTTGAAGAGAGATGAAAGTTAGCATCCATACCTACAAAATTATCGGTGGAGGTGATGAGCTTTGGGAGTAAACCATGCCCTGTTAATTAAGACAAACTTTTTTATTACTCTTCTGAACAAATGCTAAAATAGAAATCTTGTATTGGACATATAACATGCTGTTAATCGAAGGAGAGAGTTGTACTTATTTTTGAGCATGATTCTTATCATGATTTTGAGCAATCATATATGCGAAATGGTCATGTTACTTGACACGACATAACTACTCCATCATGTCCTAAAATGTAGAAACTTAATAACTAATTTACAGCAGATTAAGAAAATTAGGTTATTTTAGTTTTTTTTTTAAAGTGTGTTAATTTTCCTAAAGTACTCCTTATAATCATGTATTGTAAACTACTCTTTTGACGGAAAACACTCTTAATATATGCAATCAACAAGGAAATTTAAAAAAAATTATAAATTTAGTAGATAAAGTGAACTGAGATCTTACATTTAGAACAAAAATAAATCTCTTTACTAGCTCTTAAATTTAGGAATGGGGGAAGCATAATATATTAATATTATAATATTACTTTAGGAAAAGCAAAGTAAAAGTTACACGTCTTAATGCCTACAAATTTATATGTTATTCTTACACATTCTTCAAACAATATTTTGAAACATACCTGCCTCGGTAAGTTTTTCTTTATCCCCTTGACTTCTATCTTCTTGTCGGATGTCCACGCAAACATGACTGGTAGCTGTGGTTGAAGGTATATTTACGTCTTACATGGGCAAAGAAACAACGAACGGTCACGTCGTTAAAAATGCATTAATAGTAATGATGATGATAAATAAATAAGATAAAACAACAAATGAAAAAACATGTTCTCTACGTTAATTAAATGTATTCTGAATCAAGTTTTCTTCTACTTATTTTATTTATTTAGAGGTTGATCTTTAGCCTATTCAATTGTAATCATCTCATTGATTTTTCTAAATTATATTCTGTAGGGTTTCTTTGCTGATTACAATCAAAACCAAGAAAATTACCTATCAGCAAGTGTGTGTGTGAGGCTCGTATTCATATAGTCTCCGTTTTCTATCGTAATGTGTTATATGCTACAATCTAAGGAACGAGAGAAAATTTGCACCAGAAATAAAAAAAAAAGAAAGAACGAAGAGAAAATAACATAAAAAAATACACATAATGATAGTGAAAAATAAAGGAAAGCATTAGATATATATATATATATATATATATATAAACTCAAGTCCGTTGATACTAACAATTATATCCATCGTTTCCAAAAGATAAGTTCCCCTGGGCTACGAATAGCAGTGTTCAAGGTTGCGATCACACGAATAGGCGTCGTCCCTAAATTGTTAAAGGGCACTAAAAGCAATTCTTCACATTGTTGAAGCAAATTCAGCGCAATATCTGCATATGTATAGTCATGGCATGAACTGACAAGAGCATAAAAAACAAATTAAAAGAAGCAATATTACATATATAACATACCAAAGCATTGTGCATGTAAACAATGAAGAAGCAGCCTAGAACCCCAACGGCCTGTGAGGCATTCCATTGGAGTGACGAAATAAAGATAACGTCCCATTTCTTGGTAACCCTTTGCAAAAGCCACTATAACAGGAAGATCACCAACCATGTCTGGAATTTCAAGCACGCGGCTGTTCTTGCTTACGAGGCATTTTGCTACTTCAGTATTTCCACTGAACCAACTAGCCATTACAAGTGCTGTATTCCCGTCAGAATCAAGAGTTAGAAGGAATTGTGGAGGCAGTAATTTGAGCAACTCCTCCGCTATGGTCACATGCCCAATCATTGCAGCCACATGAAGTGTTGTTCTGCCATTATGAGAAACTACTGAAGTCAAAGCATTAGGGTTTTGATCGAGAATTGCTTTCGCATCACTCCACTTGTTACCGCATATGGCATGGCACAAATCCTCCTTCCATGCCCTTTCCTCACCTGAATGATTAAATGAATACATACTACTTGAGATATTGGCATATATAGGGTACTTTATAGTATTTGTTACTGCCCATATACATGGCATGGGATAAGTATTTTGAATAATATATTGAAAAGGTGGTTGTGTTCAATTATTGTTAAATGCATCTTAAGGATGAGGAGATTTACATGTTTATGGCCCTCCATTTCTTTTTATAAGAAACAATTACTACTTATGATTTGTTCCCATTCATGGGAAATATTTCGAGGATGTCCCAAATTTTTGTTGTTAATTTCTCATTTTGCCCTCAGTTAGTTACTCATTTTAATATCAATACATTTATTATCACATGCCAAGCATTCTTTTACTGCGCATTCTCTCCCATCACAATCCTTTTTATATTTTAATAATTTTCTTATTTTCTTCTTATATTATCTCTCCCTGTAAATAAAGGTATTTTTGAGGGAAAAAAGTTACAATTTTTACCTATTTGTTTCTGACCAATTTTAACTAATTTTTTTATCAATACGATTTGCTTAATTGTTTCTTATAAAAGCAACCAAGGCAGTATTTATTAAAATAATGAAAAGCAATTGCCAAAGTGAAAACTTCATTATCATGCATTAATACTAAAGAGAAAAAACTTCATGAAATTTTAAGATGCAAATATCCATATGAAGAAGCAAGTTTTATTTTGATAATATAAACATAAATTATTTAAATTTAATTAAGTAAATATGCCTATTAATAATGTATATACCCAACAAAATTTGGGGAAAGACCTTACTTATTAAGATTTCTTGACAACAAAAAGGCAATAGTTTGAGTTCCTGAATGATTTTGATTTTTCTATTTACAACATTAAAAAGAACTCAAAATTTTACTTCTCCAATTCTATTTATAAGGCACTTATAGCATGTTTTAAACAGACCAAGAAAAATCTTAAACTATATTAATTATCTATTAAAATATAACAATTTTTTTAACTTTACTTCTATTTAATATATACACTTTTTTTTTAAAAATAACTATCTACATTATAATAAATAAAAAGCAAAATAATATATCTATTATAAAAATTTAATAAAATTACTTAAAAGCAGGTAGCACGGGAGGAGTACTTTAGAAATATATGGGTCCTTTTTCTTTGACCAAACCTTTGTTAACGCAATGCTAGGATTTTTTTTTTACGTCTATTGGTCCAAATGACACAGAAAAAAGAAGAGTTTTTGTACTCATTCACCTGAGTCCTCGTGTGGCCTTGCCGAAGAGCCACCAGGTGACGGACGGTGCACCCCACGAGAGGGTCCAAGTCGATCAGCGCGTTTTGTTCCAAGTCACCTCCCAATGTCGACATTTAGGGGATCTATATAATACTCTTATAATGACAACGAGAGAGATCTGTAAGA